CTCGCACGCCCACAATGTCTGTTTTTCAAAGATCCCAAAATTTTGCCTCATTCCACCCACAAATCATCACAAGAGAGAGAGTCCATCTGCTTTGCTGCAGTAGTCATCGTTGTCATGGAAGTAACTGTCATCACTGTCAGCAGCAGTTGGGAGGGTGGCACCCGCCAAACCAGATGGGCTCTCTCTCTCACACACGCACAAACACACACACACACACACACACACACACACATAGCCACCATTTTTGGAGAGGTGGGATGGGGGAGTGTGCTAGCAAGTAGTAGAGGTAGTCATCGTTGTTGTAGTTGTTGCAATTGTCGTAGTTGTCATTGTTAGTAGGGGTAGGGAGTGGCATGCAGCAAAGCAGACAGGATCTCACCGCTCTTTCTTTCACACACACAACACACACAGTCATCGAGGGGGTGGGGGTGGGCGTGACTACAATGAGGAAGACTACCTCTACGGGTGGTACCACTCACCACCACACAACGAGCATCCCCACTTTTGTCGGTGCTTGAATTGCTCTTCCGTGCGTTTGAACTTTTCCCAAGGCTTGTTCGTCTGTCCGGCATCCGACGTTGACACTAATTTCCCCTTTCTTGTTCTTGAGTGAGTGCATCGTGGTGAAAGGCATCGACTTCATCTCCTTCACTTGATCCTGAAGTCAATGGGCCTTCACTTGGTCTAGTTGATAGGACTGCAGCAACTGGCTGCATACATTGCTCTCTCCACAAAATTCAGCTGCCCTTCGTTAGCGGCACGCCAATTGGTTTGTATGAGGGAGCGAGTATGAGTTACGATTGCGTAGAAATCTTCACAGTCCTCCACTCATCCAAATGTTTGGGTCAAGGAGTCAATGCTTTTGAAGAACTCGCGTCGAATGTGTGTGAATGGCACGTTCAGATCCAAAATGGCAGCGATATTTGGACGCGTCCGGTGGGTCCCTTGGTACATCTAGAAAACTTTGTTGATGCCCTTGGCAACTTCGTCCTGTACGATGAACCGTCCTTTCCACAGAGCTTCCCAGTCCAACTTGGTGTGCAAGTGGTCCATGCTCACACCTCCCTTGAACGCGAAGTGATTGAGCCAGATTTGGCAACCACCTGTGGTGTTGAGATATAGTGCAGCGAGCTTAAGGTGTTCGAGGACGTTGCGAAAACTTAATGCAGTGGTAAATCCTTGCCACCATGCGACCGGGTCTTGCTTGGTGTAGTCGTCAAACTTCTCAATGTTGAGATTCGGCAACTTGTACGGTCGTTGGTCGCTGGTCTTCAGCGTTGTCAGCTGCTCGTAGTCAGCTGCTGGCTGATTGCTGCTGGTCCTGCAAATGTGCCAAGGTCACCAATAGTGGCTACCACATGGTTGATCCGTTGCTCCAGTTGTCGTGTGGATGACTGGCTGGTACCCGCCCACTACCTGGAGTGGCGGCGTCCATTATCTCAAAGTCCTGGAGGCAGATGTGAAAACTGCGGTCGGTGCCATCTTGCTGGCCCTGATCACTGTCGATCACCCTTACCAGGAGCTGCAGCTCTTGTTGCTGGTAGTTGCAGGTGGCTATACGCTACGCGAGCATCATGGAGACGTCCTCCTTGGTCTTCTCGGCATCCATCAAGTTGCTGTTGCTTTCCGTTGGTGAAAAGTTCCATTTTCTGAGTGTTGGGGCATAGTCCATCTCTCACTGCTGCAGTGTTGCGCACGCGGCAGACCGGAGTTGGTCGATTGCTGCTACAGCTTCGGACTGCTGTCGTCGCTGCTACACAGCTGCTTGGACAGCTGCACGGATGCAAGCGGCCTAAGCTTCGTCACGGCGTTTGTCCGCCTTCATCTTCTTGGCGTCCATCGGGTAGCTGTTGCTTTCCGTTGGTGAAAGTGCCATTTTCTGAGTGTTGCAGCATAGTACATCTCTCGCTGCTGCAGCGTTGCACAAGCGCCTAACCGGAGTTGGTTGATTGCCGCTGAGGCTTCGGCTGCTATCGTCGCTGCTCGGCTGCGAGCGGCCTCAGCTTCGTTGCGGCATTTCTTTTCCTCATTGATTTCGATCAAGAAAATGGCTACGCGAAGCTGGTAGGCCTATACGGTCTCGCTGGGCCCCTGCCCTGTCAGTTCGGGCAGGGCAAGACCGGGTGCCCCTGGGGATGATGTGCTCCCAGGTGGGCTTGCTGCGGCTGCTGCTATTGAGACCATGCCTGAGGTTGCAGGCTGCTGGCATTCGGCAGAAGTCTGCTTATGTATCGCAACATCAGGTGCAGGAGGCGTAGAGCTTTGTTACATTACAATTTGTGCGCTGCACCGCCACATAGCCCAGCCTCAGCCTTGTGTGCTGACAGTACACTTCCGCACGTGGGACACTGCTGGCACATAGCCCAGCCTCAGCCTTTTCTGCTGACATGGCACACTGATGACATGGCACACTGATGACATGGCACACTGCTGGCACATACCCCAGCCTCAGCCTTTTCTGCTGACATGGCACGTCTGCACATGGCACACTGATGACATGGCACACTGCTGACATGGCACTCTACTGACATGGCACGTGCGCTCTGCACCGCATGTGCCACGACCCCGCGCACGGGATGCACCGCAAGTATGGTTTGTGGTGATGGTTGGAGATAATGCACTCTGGAGCGAAAGGGCTAGCCAGTAGGGCGGAAATAGGGCACAGCAGCGGTGGAGATGGTGGCTCTACCGCAGTAAGTCTTGCCGTAGTAAGGTTGAGAGGGTTTTGTTGGATGTTTACAGCCAGTGCTTCAATTCTCAATTTTCTGATTTCCTATTTTTTCAATATTTTCTTGAGAGAGGTGAGTGGGAGAAGTAGATGGTGGGGGCTAGCTCGTAGGATGGTAATAGGGCACAGCAGCAGCAGAGATGGTGGCTTTTGCTGCAGTAAGTCTTGCCGGAGTGAGGTAAAGAGGACTGTTGGGGGATCGGGGGTTCTGAGTCGGTTGTTCTTAGCCGAAGCCAGGTAATGGCCATGGTATCTCAAAAAAAGGAGGGAAGGGGGGGAGCTCGAACTGGAAGATGGAAGGCAGTAAGGGGGCTCTTAACAGAGGAAGGTTGTTGGTTAAGGTAAGTAGGATAAAAGGACGATGCTGGGACGACACAGGCTGGTGCTGGAGCTTTCGCTCTGTGATGCAGGGGGAGCTTGAGGCCTGTAGGTTGTGGTGCCCTGTTACCCTAGCAGAAGTGGATATGAGATCAAGTGAGTTCTGGTACGAGGACTGAAAACCTGGACCGACGTTCCGTCTGTTGAGAGGGGTAGTTTTGGATAGTAGGCATTTCAGTTTTGACCCGCCGGCGTTCATGTTTTCCAAGCTTTTTCAGATTTTTTGAATTTTTTTCTGCAATTTAGCCTATCTCATGAGGAAAGTTTTGAGAATGCTTTAGGATTCTGGGCACTTCTTACAACTCATTTTAGGTTTTTCTAATGCTGTTATACTCATGGGTCTGCATTTTTTCGATGCCAGAACTACGCTGGCCGAAGATGGGGGGGTTACCCTGGAACCTGTTGATAGCAGGAGCGAGCGGCGTGGTAGAGAGATCTGGGGATGCCTTGGGCCGGGCATTCTAAGGGAAAATAAGGATTTCTGTCGGTACCACGCTGGCCGGAGCTGGCGTGAGTTGTGTTGCCCTGTAACCTAGCAGGATGGGGCATGAAGCCTGGGAAAGTTCAGCAGGGAATAAGACAGTGTTAGAAAATTTTAGAATGTTTCGTTGGGGATTCCAGGGGTTCGGAGCATTCAAAGGGCTTCTGTGGCTTGCCGTTTTGACTTAGTAAGTGCTGCTTGAGTAGCCTAGCAATAGGTTAACAGTTATCCATGTCTTTTCCTAATTTTCTAGAATCTCTTCAAAGTTCTCAGATTGTTCCTGGCCGAAGCCAGGTAATGGCCCTGGTATTTCAAATCATTTGTATAATTCTATATGGGACAGCATGTGTTGCTCCCCACGAATAGACTGGAGCATTTGTCAAAGAAAAAAAGAAAAAAAAAAAGGAACACTTCCAGGGTGTTTTAAGCAGTAGCGCTCCTGGTGTTGCGTGGAGATCTTGTGGAGTTCGGTAGAATTTATGGTGGCTTCGTGGGCTGACACAGAGGGCTCTCTAAGTTTTTTCAAACCATTTGAAGCGTGGTCATTGCTTTCTTGGTCGGTGTTTGTGCTGTTGCTCCACTTGTTTTTGCCTTGGGGTCTTATACACTCCAGGGGCAAGACAACAAAATGAAAGGGAAGAGGCCTAGCCATGGAGCGACGGCAATGATGGTAGCGAGTCATTTGAGATGAGCTGATGTGCCAGTGTTTTCGGTAATGACATCGACCCCTTTATAGAATATTACATGTAGGTGCAAGTGTGCTGCTCCAGCGGCAGACGGGTGTGTGGCACTTGCCACTTAACCACATGGGCAACATAGCATCTTTTTTTTTTTCTTTAATAAGCAACCTACGTTCTGCTCTCAATTTCAGTAGTAAACACTCAATTCAAGTGACGGAGTGTTCCCATAGCCCATACTACAATGAAAGAAGCGTGCGCTCTGATCACCAGCCAAGTGCAATCCAATCACTCGAGACTTGCCGTCGTAGAGATTTTGGAGATACCACTCCTAATTACAGTCCTAGAGGGACCTGCAGGTGGGCGATACCGGCCAGGGGACAGCTGGTAGCATCAGGGATCATGCCAACAGGACCAATCCCTGTGCCTCCCCTCAGGTCCCCTCCCCTACAAACATTAACTACTGCTCAATGCCGATCGGGCGATCCAGTGGTGGGCGCCAAGCATGCCCCAGGAAGGTACATGAGGACAATGGGGATTGAACCCCCTACCTCCTGAATGCCACTTCCAAGCCTTACCAACTGAGCTAGGCCACTGGACCTTATCAATCTAATACATTCCCTATCGTTTTTGTTGTATGGATTGTTTGCAATAATTTGTGGTTGGAATGAGAGAATTTGGGGAGCTTTGACAAACACACACGCACAAGAATCATCAAGCAGGGGCGGAGGGGGGGATAGTAGTTATTAATTTATTAGCACTAGAGCTAGTCATTGTTGTAATAGTCATTGTGGTCAGCAGACTCAGCACTAATATGAGGATGGCTTGCAGCATCTCTCTCTCTCTCTCTCTCTCTCTCTCTCTCTCTCTCTCTCTCTCTCTCTCTCTCTCTCTCTCTCTCTCTCTCTCTCTCATGATCTTTTTACAGAAGTGACAGTTCTACAGCGCCAGTGCCAGTAATACTGCTTAAGAATCTTGAACTAGAGCATTGGTATAAAAGGTTTGTGCAAAAAAAAAAAGAAAAAAAAAAAAAGAAAAAGGTTTGTGCCATGCAACCCGTTGGCCATGTGGTACCCAAGGGACGGCCCAGATCGTCCCACAATCTTAAAAGCTTCAGATCGCGCCACAATCAGGGCCGACAGACAGCCCGTATGTTAGATTTCTCAAATTATAGTGTAGAAAAACGTGCACAGCCAAGGGTATAAAGCACACCCGAATGACAAGGCCCATCACATCAGCATTGGACTGCAAGAGCAGGCATTTATAATGAGACAAAGACAGTTCCCAGGCCTTCCAAAAAAAACGTGTTTCTGGCCAACACACAGCCAACGATGCACCCAGCACAGGATGAAAGGCAACCGGAGTACCTCGAGCAGAGCATTGAATGCCTGCCTCACTGACACATTTGTCACAACATAACCACAGCTTCCCATAACACAGCTAAGCGACTCATCAGGCATATAACACTATAGGAACAACATTAAAAAAAAAAACAATTCACAAATTTCAGATTTGAAGGCATGTAATGTGGAGCTGCAAGAAATACTCCCTCCCTCTCATTCTCCATATCTACTGGAAACAAGCTCTCACCTAACCTGAAGGAATTGTACGCTCCTCCCGCAGCAGTCGACCAAGCAAACAGGGAGAGCAGATCGAACAGCTCGTTCATCTGTGCACGACATGATATACAAACAAATACACCTACACGCTAACAACTTCAAGCAAAGTCGGTTCATAATCGGAGGGGGCCTCAAAGCCCAACATATTCATGAAGGTCGCAGTAATATTAGCCAAACCAGCCTTGGGGAGATCCCTCCTGAAGCGCACATTGGAGGGCAGAGCTGGACCACCGATCATGACAGGCACCTGAGACATCACCAACCAACAGCAATAAGATAAAGCAGAGGCACATTAGACAAAATTACAGCGTAACATAATGTCAAAAAAAAAAAGAAACAGCAAGCCCATATCACATGGTGCACGGTTCAGTTACGATAAGATGGATTCAAAGCACACCCCAGCAACCTCGCACAGACAGACTCACATCTGCTATTTGAACTCCCCCCTCCCATCGCTCACATTAAACAACCAGCGCGTCCAAGTTCATTTTCCCTATACAAAAATGCCACATACCATTTCCTGCTGGCATGCCACTTGCCAGACGACACTCTTTTTCTCTTTTCTATAGCCCATGCCCCCAAATTAATAACCGGATAACGCGCATTGGAACACATTATTTGGGAAACGGACTGGTGATTCAAGAGAGCCACATGAACAAACACTACCACTGGATCTGCATATAAATAAAATCAGACTAACGTCAGCATAGCATAAATAAAACCAGACTAACGGCAGCATAATGCCCAGATGGTAGTCCAAACCGCCGGTACATCAAACGCCATTGAGATCTGCAGTGTCTCCCTCCAAGGGGCTTGGTGACTGGCTTTGACAGAATCTTGCAGAACCTGATACACACTCCATGTGCTTCATTTTTGCAAGCCATTCAGGTTGAAATACATACTCCGGCTGGAAAACAGGGTCCATCCTTGCCATATAAACATGTTTCTAGTACTTTCAACGATTCTGCTTTAGCCCCTACTTCCCAGCCTGTAAAGACCGTCCCTCCCAATCAGCAGATAATAACCAATAAGAATCCGTGGTTCACGCTTTGTCTCTCCGACACGAAATAAACACAAATTTGAAGACCCTGCTGCACAATTTGACGCTGCGCATCTTCGCCGGACCCTTTTCCGGCGGATGGCATGACTGCTGAGTAAAGCCAATAACGATGCTACAATGGCAGTAATTCATATCCAGGAACTTTCTGATATGATGAATTTAACAAAACCTCTCACACTTCTGCACAGTCATGTGAACTAAATCATAATTCGGGGTGTAAACCTGCTTCGAGAATTGTGCTCCAACAAACAATCTCTATGGTTAACAGGTACACATCAAATTAACGGTTCTGTTCCATTCCTCGTGCTTGAAATATGCCCCGGATTGGAAGTGGCCAAAATGGCCTCAGTCCTGACAAGGATCACACAGGCCGAGCATCCTGCCCCTGCAGCAGATAACATCCCACCTGGTGAAGAGCTTTCATATCTCTGAGCAAGCCCTGTAGCCACGTTCTAGCCTAGGCCACCGGCCGGGTAGCCCGGTTGGGGTCAGGCCAGCACAAGGTCTGTCCGGGTGTCCGGGAGGTCAACTCAGATGTGGCAGCGAAGGCCAACTCGGTTTCTTTCCCAGACAACTTAGCCCGTTCATCAATGGAGACGAACAGCCCAGATGAAGGTCACAAAGGCGATCCGCAGCCTGCACAAACTTCCTCCCAGACTTTTCCCCGTCCTTTCCACCTTTCCCCCCATCATGCACCCTCTTCCCCATCCCACCTTTTCCCAATCTTCCCCCCATCTCCCTTCACCTTTGCCCCCACCTTCTTGAATCACCCCGCCAACCACTATCCCCGCATGTATTGCCCAATCAATCCCCATCCCCACAACCCACAACATCATTCATCCATCTCTTACCAGCTCTCCCCCGTCTCTAATCCATCACTCACCAGCTCTCCCCCGTCTCTAATCCATCACTCACCAGCTCTCCCCTGTCTCTAATCCATCACTCCACCAAAACCTACACATGCCTCTCCTTGGGCTTTCAATTCGTCTTCATCTCTCTCTCTCTCTGTGTGTGTGTGTGTG